ATGGCAGATCCGTGCTGCGTTAGCTGGTAGGGGACCTCTGCATGAATCTCTCCTCGCTCTCTGTTCTCTGTCAGTTTTCTCACTCCAGTTGGTGCTTGGCTGACTTCTTTATCTCTTCGTCTGATGTTTTAGGGTTTCAGGATTGCTGTTTTCTCTGTTTAGCTTAGTTTTTCGGATCTTTGCTGTGGAGGAATGGCGTGGTGCTTCTGCCTAGAGTGCCATCTTGCCAGAAGTCCTTTATTGTTATTTTTAATCCCTTGAATTATTAGTTAAGTTATAGATGGATGCTATAAGAAATATACTCCAACTGCTTAGTGACATACAAATGAAAAAATTGTTTCTTACATAATAATTCTGTGTTGTTCATGGTCTCCGGTGATGATTCAGGGACTAGAAAGATTCTAAATTGTGGCATATCTATCTTGAACATATAACTACAGAATTGCCCAGGAGTTTATTCCATTCCAGACAGTTGTATAGAGAAAGAAATTATAAATTATCAGGGCTATCTTTTTATTATTATTATTCCCTTTTCACGGAGAATATAGTTTTAAAAAAGTTTTTCAGTTCCAACTCTGTCTCAAGTGGCCCCAAGACTTTGTTTCCTTTTTGTAAAAAAGCACTAAACTTTTAAATTGTAGACCAACAGAACTTTTTGCAACAATGGCAATGTTTTATGGCTGTGTTGTCCATTAATGTCCAAATGCTACTACTGAGCATGTTAAATGTAGCTGATAGAACCCAGGGATGGAATATTTAATTTTAATTAATTTTAAAATTAAATTGCCACAAGTGGCTAGTGGCTGCTGTAATGGACAGAGCCACTCTACACTGTAGGTCTAATGCTTAACCTTTCTAGGCCGCTGTGTTTAACTGTATCACAGTTATGCAGCTTTGTAACCCCTTGTTAATTTTAGCAGTGGGGCCCCTCTTTTTCAAGTTCAGCGATGATCTTTTTTTTTTTAATAATTACACCTTATAAAGCCCTTTTTTGTGTTTGAAGAGGTGGTCGTGATCCATGCTGCCTCAAGATCCATGTTTCAGTACTTAATTATGGGTTCTCAAGTTTGAAAAACCACTGATAGTAAACAAAAATGAGAAGCATTAAAAACTTACTAATAAAGAAAAAGACATAATACTAACTTGTTTTCATACTAGAAAAGAAGCGGAGATATTCATATGCTATAAATTTCAAGTTTGGAAATTTTGAACATAGGAAATCACTCATGGTATTGACTTCAGTGATTGGAAACAAAATTTGGTCAAAAATGACTCTTCAGGATGGCTATAAGCGAAAAAAAAAAAAAAGATTAAATCAATGCAACCATAGCTTTCATGAATAGTTCTCAGTAAAAAGTTTTGAGAATTTTTGGTCTAAGAATGATTTTTAAAGTAATCGTATTTTGACAGGAAATCAATTTAACCCTACTGTTTCTATTTTCTGAAGGGTCTTGACTAGAAACAGCATTTAGAGACATGTATGTGTTTAACAATAATTATTAGCATTCTAGGAAGATTAAAATAATGCCAATCACAGAATTACATCCTATAATTCTATTGCTTATTAAAATAATTTATTATACTGTGCAAATGGGTCTGTAATAGCTTTCCTATCTTTGAATCACTAGGGATGATATACTTTATTTTGCATCCTCTGTTTATGGAAACAGCTTGATTTTTCTTGATTATTCCATTATTTCTCATTCATATAAAGTAATCTATTCTGTGATTCTATGATGTTATTGTCCTAGAACTCTCAAACTCACCAGATACTAGCTATTTCTCCAAAAGTTACAAGACAAGGGGAAAAAAAATTCCACATTGATTTCATTTTCTACTTGGAGTATCAACAAAATCATGTTTGAAAAGTATGTGTCTTATTGAGGATATCAAAGTCATTTTATTTCCAGTTCTTTTCTGTTACTTAGCATCCTGATGACCCTTGTAACTCAAACTTTGTGCATAAGGACTTCATTTAAATAACAAAATCATAGACTTACTGTATTTTTCATCTTGAGGTGAACATAGAGATAATTTTGAAAAAATCCCCACATTATCTAGATGCGGACATTAAATCCTTGTGGGGGAGGGCTTCACCAAGTCGAGATGGTAGCAGAATATAGGCCAATGACCTGAATCCAAGCCAGGTACTTGGACATTCTCAATTTAAAACATTATTATATTTGATTTCATCAAATTGATCATTCACTGGGCAGGTGCTCTATAGGAATTCCATTTCATTTTAACATGAAGGGTAAACTGTTAGTTTTATATTGTCTAAAAATTGTTACATATCTGAGCAGGTCATATTTTCAGAAATATTGTTTTATGATGATGCCTAGATTGTCCTCAAATAAAGCTACAAAACTTACTGGATGTATAAGTTTACTTTTCTTTCATGCTGTGTTAACAGACAGTGTGTTACTAGAACAAGGATATTAACATGGTAAAAATTATGCAGAAATACTTTTTAAAATTATATTTAAAGACTGATGATTTGTCAAAGGAACCATGCAATTGTGAAGATGTGATACCAGCCATGCCCCAGTATCTCTCACTTGGACTATTCCATTGCACACTACTGGTCTCTTAGCTTTCACACTTGCTTCTATCAAATCCACATGGCAAAGAGTGTTTTCTGTTTAACATATAAATCATGTCACTGTCCGCTTTCCACATTTCAGTAGCTCTCCTTTGCCCTGCAGATACAATCCAGAGTATGTTTGCTATGGTTCTGTTATCTCTCCACTCCTCCACCAGCCATCTCTACACGGGACATGCTGGCCGGTGAATCCCTAGATGCTGGCCACCTGCCTCGTTCCTCTAAACAACCCTTCTGTCCTACAAAGCCTCCCGTCCAGCTTTGCAACCTCAACACCGAGGCGGAGCCTTCAGGCTTTGGCTGTATCGTAGAGCAGTCTTTGCCTTCTATTTGCATGGTTGCAGTGGTTACGCACTTGGTTGCTAACCGAAAGGTTAATGTATGTGTTTACTGTAGATTGCATTATTCATGTAATCCCCTGGACATTTGACAACTTCTGGTAGCAGTTGGAGCCCTGGTGGTGCAGTGGTTAAGAGCTACGACTGCTAACCAAAAGGTCAGCAGTTCAAATCCACCAGCTTCATGGAAACCCTGTGGGGCAGTTCTGCTCTGTCCTGTAGGGTCACTGTGAGTTGGACTCGACGGCAGTGGGTGTGGTAGTATGGAAGAGTTTCAAACAATATCTCAAATAGCTTGCTGTTTTAAAAGTAAGCTCCAGAAAAGAGGGGCCTTATTTATATTTTTCAACTTTTCTTTCCCAGACCAAGGTCAGGACCTGAAAAGTAAATACGAAATGAGCAATTCGTGTTTGGGATTTGTTTTTGTTTGTTTGATTGATTAGGATACCTCTGCTTTGATTCTACATACAGTTTTACCAAGAAAATTGAAGTAGTGGGAAAATTTTTCTATTTTCTTCTCTATATTTCTATGGAAATTCCACAAATACCTCATTTACCTCTGTGTCCCCATCTTCTAGTTCAGTGATACACACATGGAAAGCACTAAATATGTTCTGAATAAATTCCAAAAGACTGGAAAAATTATGAATCTCTCAAGTCCAAATATCTCCTAGAGTAAGTATTTATTTAATTTTTAGTCCTAAATATCCATACCTATAGTCGCAATTATTTTACAATTAAAAGTATTAAAAACAAAAAACCCATTGCCATCGAGTTGATTCCAACTCATAGCAAACTAAAATTACGAAAATAGATTCTGTAAAACCAGAACATAAAATTAACTACTTCATCTTACAGAGAATTCCACTTATAAATGGCTAAAGGATTAAATCCTTCTGATATTCAGTTTTCAGAAAATCTCCACATCTCCAAACACATGCTCTCTTCCCTGCCAGTTTACGGAGTTAATATTTTACTTTCATTTGTGATAAGCAGAAAATAGCAAGTAAAACAAAAACGAGATTAACAAAATGACGTGTTTAATCTAGCTTAAACCTAAAAAGTAAAAATTGTTGAAGGCAAATTTTGAAATATGTTTCAAAAGACTGACATTGTATCTAATGCTATTTAGGGCGCTGTGCCTTAGTGGGGTGTACCCAGGTGACCATCTTTGACAGTGTAGTTCTGACGCCAGCCCAACTCTTTCATTTCTCTGTACCGGCCCCCATCCAGTGCACCCTGCCGCCTCCCATTATAGCGTGTTGTTAATTGTAAAAATATCATCTTGTGGGGAGGCAGAAGACAGATAGCTATGTAAATTACATGATAGTTACGATTTCTCTGTTTCTGTGAAATATAATCACCATGGTTCTATCAAGATTCGGAGCATTATTGAAGTTATTATTTCTCATGCATTAATTATACTTTCTTTAAAAGTGTTTTCATTGCCTTGGATAAAAATGAATTAATTCCATTATTAATAGGATATAATTATTTAATAATATTTATGCGCATCTAATGCAGCATGCAAGGAACCCTGGTGGTGCAGTGGTTAAAGCACTTGGCTGCTAAATGAAAGGTCTGCATGTCGAATCCACCAGTTGCTCCAAGGGAGAAAGATGGTGGCAGTCTGCTCCCAAAAAGATTACAGCCTCGGAAACCCTATGAGGCAGCTCTACTCTGCCCTGTAGGGTTGCTATCAGTCAGAATCAACTCGACGGCAACGTGTTTAACACAATGTGTATCATGATAACCTATTCATTCAGAAGAAGCTTAAACATTAAAAATAATAATATATAATGTCATAACTGTAATAGTAATTGTCAAATAATGGATGACTGATAAGTACCAGATGCTTTATATATTGGCCAATTAATCCTTGAAACTATCCTGAGAGGTGTTACTATCCCCACCTTACTTTGAAACAAATACCTCAAGATTAAAGGCGGAGGTAGCTGACTCTTGAGTTGGTTCCCTATACTGACAATATTGCTTTATTTTGCTTGCTGCTCATGGCATCGTTCAGATTAAGCTAATAATTTTCCATCTTTGCTTTTTAGGATTTGATACTAGTATTTTGCCAATTTGCAAAGATTCACTTGGCTGGATGTTTAACAGACTTGATACAAACTATGATCTGCTGCTGGACCAGTCAGAGCTGGGAAGCATTTACCTTGATAAGAATGAACAGTGTACCAAGGCATTCTTCAATTCCTGTGACACATACAAGGACAGCTTGATATCGAACAATGAATGGTGCTACTGTTTCCAGAGACAGCAAGGTAACGGATGAGACTCCTCAGGACGCAGATAGTTGACTGGCGGGCCAAGTTGACGTATTCCTTCAGGATGGTAGATGTTTTTCTAATTGGAGTGTGTAATAACGGAGCAAATAAACAGCATTCTGAACAATGCCTCCACTAGAGATGCAAAGCATGCTAAATATGATGAAAAAATTCAATTAATACTTTATAGTAATGCAATTTATTAGTTTCCATTATGAACCACCCAAAAGCACTTCGAGATATGAGACCGTAGATGTTAAAAGTAATCATTAAAATTAATTTGCTATCTGCTTTGCCTATGATGTAAAATAAATGGGTTTTTTATCACTATACTGTGGAGTGTTAACGTTCTATTTTGTGATCTTATTAAATGAGCTGAACGAACCACAGCATTCACCCTATCATTATTTTTACTCATTTAAATTTTAAAATGGCTTGATCTTTCAAACTTTCTGAAATAACTTAGCTTTTTCAAAATTAGCTAGCAAAGAAAATGTCTTAATTATTTCAAAGAGGTGAGGCAAGATGAAGAGTTGGATAGATGCTAGTTCTTTATGCATTCTTCTTTATTAGGAAATGTCAATCTGTAAAATTGGAGTTGTGCTATATAATCAATGGGCATGAAAATTTAAATGAAAAATGTATAGGAAAGTAGATCCAAAGAACTCCCGTTATGCTAAAGTTTGAGGACGTTTAGGAGGCAATGATACAGGCAGTGTTGGTGCTGATATTAATGCTGGTGGGAATTAGGCTGAGGTAATATACTTGCTATTGTCAGTGCATTTTAAAATTCTTGACAGCTGAGAGAATGAGCAAGCTACTTTAGATTCTACTAATGATTCTCTGGTGTTTCATATGGAAAACTAACACATTTTACAAAGTATTTTACCATCTGAATTACTTTTTCATATATTAATAACTGTTTAGTGCTTAGGGATGCCACGACTATCCATAAATTGATTAGTGGTGAGTCAGTAAAAGGGTTGTAGAGTAGTTTAACCTTTAATAAACTATTTCAAAGAAAGCTCAAATACAGATTTACTTTAGTAAAATAGTTTAAATCATACACACACATACAACACAAGTTGTTGACTTTACTAATACATGTAAGCTTTCCAGGTATTTGGGCACCATTAAAGAACTACATGCTCCTTTTAATGACCAGTGTATATTTAAGTAAGTAATTTAAAGAATGAAAAAGTAAAGAAGCAAGTCTAGATAAACTCCCATAAAAGGACACGTAATCAAATAGTCTTTTGTTAGTACGGAAAAATATTATTTTTAACTTTATGTTATGATAGCAGATTTTAGGTGTTTATACATGAACATTTAAACATATTTTAATAACTCTGAATCTATAATCTACAGAAATAAGTACGCTCATCTTCAAACATTTCTGGGTCTTGCCGTCATATTTATAGACCAAAGAAAGGTCCCTAAAGCAAAATTTTGCTGTATGTACTTTTCATATATTAGGTAGTTTCCTCTCAAAGTTTTAAAAACTTGATAGTCACATGAAGATTTACTCTCTGATATCATTTAATGCTTGGCAGAAATATTTTACTAAATGGAATCTGAGACAATACAAAAGTTTATGCAACTCTTCAAAAGCCTAGGGGAGTTTGGGCGGTTGTATTCATTCCTTAACTGTGCTAGAAAAAGTTACAAAAGTTAGGGCGGGGAAACTGAGAGGGCTCGTGACATTGTACTACTTTATATGTAATCTTTCAGTTCAATAAGTAATTTCAAAGGTGAATAAACATTATTATTATTTTTTTTTTTTTTTAAGATTTCCTCTTACAAAACAATGGCTTTTCTCATTTATCTGTTCAGTACAGAATACCACATGTTCCCTGAGCTGCTTTTAAGGGTAATGGAAAAACCTGGAAACACAGGTGATGATGGTTGAACAACATGACGGGCGTTATAAATGTCACCAAACTGAACATGGAAAAATGCTGAAATGGCAGATATTTTGGTGCATCTATATTTAGCACATTAAAAATAAAAGAACACCAAATTCTCAGCTTGATTATAGTTGTACGTAGAGTAGAATAGGAGGTTATTTAATCCAAGTTGACTTAAAACTGCGATATAAGATTAGAGTTGAATAGTGGTGGAAAATAAAGTAGTGTTTTTCAAAAATATTAATGTTAATTTCAAAAGTTTAAAAATGAGATTGAGAATGTAAAATTTCAAGCAAGTGAAATTCTTAGTTTTCTGAAAAATGTTTTAACATTAGTTCAAATACAAATCTGTTTCCATGACTAATTTTCTGAAATCATGGGAATTAACACAAAATATGTAAGATTATGGTTTCTAGAATTCTTTATTGTAAGCAATCCTGAAAGACTGAGTAGGAGAAAGATTGATTTTGGATTTTGAATACTTCATAAGTATGTTCTAAGCTTCCAGTTTAAAAAAAAAAATATATATATATGATTTGCTATTCCATCTATATTCCTGTTTTGTGAAATCAAGGGAAGAGAAAGAAAACTGACATTTATTCAAGTCCATCTAGTCTTTCACATACGTAAAATTATTTATTACTCAAAGAAACCTGTGAATGTGTTTTTATTATTCTCATTTATGACTAAGTACTGAAAATTATTGATCTTTAAATAACTTTTTAATTTATTACTTACTCTTTAAATTATAGAATAAGTAAAGGAACTGGGATTTGAAACTAGAGCCCTTCTTTCTCCAAGCAGTTTTAATGCTATTTTTATAATTTGCAAGGTTATTATTTACATAATGTCATACAGACATCACTTCACAAATTTTTGGCAAGTACTATTCGTACCAATACCATCAGCAAGTCTTATTTCAATAAAAAATATATCCAGTACTTTTTCATCAGGATTACAATGAAAATGGATGATATTTTTAGAGGTCATTTATACATTTTACCTGCAGATAGAAATATCAAAGTTGGTATCAACTAGGGTTAATTAAATAGTTTTTTAAAGGAAATGCTTTTTTTTCCTGTTGAATAAGAAAACGTTAAATAAGGAGAATGTTGTCCCTTAGCATAATGAGTATTTGAAATTTCCATAGATGAAATGAGTCTAATAGAGATAGATGGGCAAGTATCTGCATTCCGTGAGAGGCTGTGTGACTAACAAAATGTTGAGAGAATGAATAAGGGCAAAGGGTTTATTTAGAAGTTAGAGGGCTGGCTTGCTGCCTAACTTCGGGACACCATTCATAGGGTTGTGTAGGTGGAGTTATGAGGTCCACAGCCTGTGAGGCCCCATGATGCCAGCTTAGGTACTAACTCACAAACTCCATAATGTTGTGTGCCAGCCAGTTGATTCTGACTCATAGCAACCCTATAGGACAGAGTAGAACCGCCCCATAGGGTTTCCTAGACTGTAAATCTTCATGGAAGCAGATCACCAGGTCTTTTCTCCCAAGGAGGCAGTGGTGGGTCGAAGTGCCGACCTTTCAGTTGGCAGCTGAGCACTTAACCTTTGCACAACCAGGGCTCCTAAACTCCTTAATATACACTTTTTTTTTTTTGTTTTTACTCTAAGTTGTCTCTATACATCTGAAGGCTAATAAAAATATACTCCCTGGAAAAGACTAACTGAGTATAGGAGAAAAAAAATTTTTTGTATCTTAGTAGCGATTCCAAGAAGTGGAGCCCTGGTGGCATCGTGGTTAAGATCTTGGCTGCTAACCAAAAGGTCAGCAGTTCAAATCCATCAGCTGCTCCTTGGAAACCCTATGAGGCAGTTCTGCTCTGTCCTGTAGGGTCGCTATGAGTTGGAATTGACTGGACAGCAGTGTTTTTTGTTTTTGTTTTTTATTCTAAGAGACACTGGTGGTTCGTGGTAGAATTCTCACTTTCATGTGGGAGACCAGGCTTCCATTTTCAGCCAAAGCACCTCATGCACAGCCACCCCTCTTCTGTCACTGGAGGCTTGCCTGTTGCTATGACAGTGAACAGGTGTAAGCAGAGTTTCCAGACTGTGAAGAAAGATCTGGCAATCTGCTTCTGAAAATCACCCAGTGAAAACCGTACAGATTACAGTGGTCTGATCCCAGGTCACTGGGACGGTGCAGGACTAGGCAGCGCTTTGTGGGGTTGTCCGTAGATCTGGGACCCACTCAACGGCAGCTAACAACAGCTACTACTGCAGTAATCATACAGATACGTTTTTCATTTGTTTTCCCCAGTGGCACTTTATTCAGGTCAAATAAAAATGCATTGCTACTGTTGTATTGAAAATTATCGGTTCCTTATATAGATCTTGTATGAATGGCCCCAGTGTAGCGTCACATTTGAGTTTTGAAATCCAGAATGCAAAACATGTAATCAATTTTATTTTCAAAAGCATTGCACTTACTTAATGTTTTCCATTCTTCTTTTTCTTGACATGAGTTTAGACTATTTAATTGTAAATTTATTGATTAAATTAAAGTATGTTTTGTTCGTTCATGATTCTCATCCAAGTTTTGAATACATAAAATCCAGAATCATCCAAAAATTTGTAACACTATTAGATAGTAAACAGGCTAGGGAAAATAAATTTTCTGGTATAAGTCTGTATCTCTACCCTAAACTAAAATACCTGTAGTGTAATCATGTTCAAACATCCATGCAATTTGTTGGGTTACTACTCTTTCATCTAGATTAGTTCTTTGCAAGTGAGTTTAAATGGCAAACAAGTTTTCAATTAAATGCTCCAGGTATACCTAGACTTACAGAGCTGGCTCATAAATCATCAAACCAAACCCGTTGCCATCCAGTTGATTCCAACTCCTAGCGACCCTATAAGACAGAGCAGAACTGCTCCATAGGGTTTCCAAGGAGCAGCTGGAGAGGAGAAAATATTTTAAAATTAAATATTGTGTATATTTGACAGCCTAATCTGCCATGTTTTCTCTTGAGATCTTAAAATGTTCCCCTACCCAGATCTTACAGGACTGACATTCACTTTTGAAAATCAGGCTTATTTAGTAACGTTACATTCAAGAGACAGACTCAGATATACCTGAATTTTCAAGCACTCCAGTAGTGAACATGTAAGCAAAATTACTTCTTCTTTATGAACTACTTTCAATATAATACTGAAACTTTAGCTAGAATCCTTCCTCTTCGTTCTAAGATATCATATTTGGAGGATAGTAAACTTTAAAATGTTGATTTTTGTAAAACCGTACTATGCAATTGGATTGCTATTCCTGTGCTACTGAGTGCAAGAGATTCTCAAGATTATTAGTAAAAGCAAAGGGGTAAATTGGACCAATTTCAGAATGGACTGGAACAATAAGATGATCAGTCAGGCTTTACAATCAAATTACTTTTTTTCAGATTTTAGAGTCTACAAGATTCACACTTTTTTTGCCTCAAATATTAAATGATCATATTAAGCACTTTATTTCTTTCCTTCATTTCACTTTGCTACTTTAATAATTGAATATTGTTAAGACTGATAAAAGATTTTAAATCTGTTTGAATGAAGTCCACCTTGCCCTCTTCCTAGCACAGTGTAGCGCAAGACAGAAGATTCTGTTTTGTTGTTTTACTGTTTCGATAGTTTACGATGAAATTTTCACATAGCAAGCATTAACTGCAAGTTTTTAGACTAGAAGTATAAAATACACTGAATTGTTTTTTAGGTAAGAATATGTAAGGATAATATAACCCAAACTGTACCCTTTCTATTTACAATTTTGCAGTTCTTTTCAAATGCGCTCCTTTAAGTGCATGAGTTTGAAAAAGTAGGCAAATACTTATTTTCAGACTTTTTTAAGTGTTTTAAGATTATTGTTTAAATGATGGTTTAGCAGACATTATTGTACGTTCTGCCTTATTTCCAAATTGCGCACGTACAGGAAACATCTGTATGAAAGACCAAATTTTGTTGACATCATACAGTTTTAAGAATTATAGTAGTGCCTCTGATAGAACTTGAAAGAAGCATTAATCTTTTCATAGGTGACTTCTGTAGTAAACAGCTATGTCTCTGTATCTTAGGGGCTGTTGTGAGTGAGAGGAGAACAGGCAGTTAATTGTTCTGGCCGCAGTCAATGAGTAGGATTTACACTGATGAGTTGGTTGACCTTTTAAAAGTAAATGATAACTATTTTTTGTCGTATAAGTATTTATACCATTCTTATTTTGTTCATCCCATTTACTCATTCTGAGGAAAATCAAGATGATCTAATAATAATTATAATTAGAAAAGTATATTATATACATGTATATGTAAATATGAAATAGATACATATTATACATATATGATTTTTGAAAAATTGCCCCCGATTCAATGCCGACACAGAGCAATCCTATAGAACAGAGTAGAACTGCCCTGTTGGGTTTCCGAAGCAGAAACAAGGCTGAAATCTTTACAGAAGCAGACTGCCACATCTTTCCCCCCAGGGAGGCTGGTGGGTTTGAACCACCGACCTTATGGTTAGCAGCCTAGCCCTTAATCTTGGCACCACCAGGGCTCCTTATATATAATTAAGAAAGCACACAGACACACACGCACGCACACATATATACACCCCTGCACACAAATATACATGTATTCTTGTGTATGTATCTCCATAAGTTCAAGAACTAGTGTCTCCTAAAGGCTTGTAAAGTTAAGAGAAGTTTAATAAGGTAGAAATCACACTTTCTTTAACTATAATCTTTGAAGGAACGTGTTTAATGTCATTGCAGACCCGCCTTGCCAGACGGAGCTCAGCAATATTCAGAAGCGGCAAGGGGTGAAGATGCTCCTGGGTGAGTAATAGATCTTTTTTCTGAAGGCTTTGTTGCCTACATAAATAATGCCAGGGAAACAGAAACATAAAATCAATATTAATCCAGCAAAGCTGGACTGCACTAAATTTCAGCAACAAAATTTATGAAGTTTTTGAATGCCATTAAACCTACTTTTATTACCTTAACTGTTGAAAGGTATTATGTCTGGTTTATTACCCTGATATAATGTTCGTTTCGAAAGTTATTAAGTAAAAAAGAGATTTAAACAATGCGAAAGTTAAAGCATCAGCAGAAACTTCAATTCTAATTCCATAGTTAACAATTCAAGAATTGATGGCCATATATTTATATGATATTGAGAGCAAATACTTGTAGAGATGAAGCAAAAACATTCCCAGAGTACCTCAGGGAATTGGAACAGACTTTTTAGTGTTTTTCATTTGTACTTTTTAGTAACTTAGTCATTCTGTGCGGGTGTGTGTGTGTAGGAGCCCTGGTGGTGAAGTGATTAAGAGCTCAGGCTACTAACCAAAAGGTCGGCAGTTCGAATCCACCAGGGGCTCCTTGGAAACCCTGTGATACCCTATGAGGGCAGGTCTCCTCTGTCCTGTAGGGTTGCTAGGAGTTGGAATTGACTTGATGGCAATGGATGTTGGTTTTATATGTATGTATATGTTGTATATATACATATATATATTTGTCATTATTGTTGTGTGCTGTCGAGTTGATTCCGACTCATAGTGACCCTATAGGACAGAGCAGAAGTGCCCCGTAGGGTTTCCAAGGCTGTAAATCTCTACGGAAGCAGACTGCAGCATCTTTCTCCTGCAGTGTGGCTGGTGGGTTCAGGCTGCCAGCGTTTTGCTTGGTAGCTTAGCACTTTATCTACTGCACAGCCATATGTAGAAAGATAAACGGTTATTTATAGGTAGGTAGGCAGGCAGGCAAACAGAGAGAGAGATTAGGTGGATAGTCCACATTTCATCCAAAGCCTTGAAGTATTAGAATGTTTGACTATCAACAGTTTACTAAAATATTATGTAAGATTATTTTGTGTTCTTGTAAGTATACAATTTTTACAAAAACTTCTTTATTTTGAATAATTTTAGATTCATAGAAAAGTTGCAATGATACTAGAGTTTTCATATACTCTTCCTCCAGCTTCCCCAAAGTTATCATCTACCAGATAACCATGGTACATTCGTTAAAACTAAGAAATTAATTGCTATACAGTTATTAACGAAACTGTGGACTTTATTTGAATTTCACCAGTTTTTTTTCTGATAGCCTTTTTTTATTTTCAGGATCTAACCTGGTGGTGCAGTGGTTAAGAGCTCAGGCTGCTAACGAAAAGGTTGGCAGTTCAAATCCCCCAGCCACTCCTTGGAAACCCTATGGGGCAGTTCTACTCTGTCCTATAGGGTCGCTATGAGTTGAAATCCACTTGATGGCAGTGGGTTTGGTTCTTGTTTGGTTAATCTGAAATACCACATATGCAAGGTTTTCCATGTGTGTTAATGTCCTTGTGTATTTAGTGACACTTAATTCGATAAAGTTGCTGGATCTGATTAATCTATATTATATTTTGACATGCGACCTTTGCAATTATAATATTGTTTGTTTAGATGATAGTTTTCCTATTACTTGAAAACCCTTAGTTCAGTCACACTGGACAAAATAAAAAAGTCTCATGGTTTGTAATAAAGCAGTTTTAGATGTGAAAAATTACTCTTGATAAAAGCTAAAATGTGTATGTTTTCTCTTAACTCCGTCCCCAGACGCATGGAAATCCTGCATCCATACATCCGTTGGTTTGCTGCCACGCGTCACAGTTTAGCCCCGTGCAATAGGGAAAGCCATTCAGATTCAGCTGGAAAATATTTTAGACTTGATCGAGGCTAATGAGTGACAACATCTATGAAAATTCAGATTTTGATTATTTGTAGTTACACAGACAAATAACATAGTGCTTTTTTCCAGATCACTTTTATTCTTAAAGAGTATAAATGAAAGTCATTATTACAGAGTATTAAATGGCCTAAATATTTCTTCTTATGTGAGCAGGACAATCCAATCATCTGCTACCTTAAAATAGATCAGTTGTTATACAGGAGTAGGGTACCATGTATTCTAATTTGTCAGTTCACTTCACTGCAGCTGTAGCTTTATTCTGAATAGTGCTCGGTTGAACTTCGAAAGTGTTCTAGCGTAAAGGATAAACTGTCTGGCCACAGTAACCATATGTATATCATTTTCATGTTACATATGTCAAATCATAGCATTGTTTTAATATATAGGGATAGTTGAAATGAGTTCTTCTTGTTGCTGGACCTTAAATCTACAGAAGGTGTTCTCAAGTTTTCCATATTGGTGATATTGTGTCTACCTCACTTAAAGACTAATAGTAAATAGATTTCAAATGGATTATAATTTTTAAACTAAATTAATCATTTACACATCAGAATTATCAAACTTTTGAAAAGAGTAAAATGTTGATCTCATATGGTTGCAAGACTAAATGAGATCATTTTGTATTTTAAACATGTATTCATTTGTTTTGGGTTTTTTTTTCTTTCAAAAAAACAATTATAATGTGTCTGATCACTAAGAAAAAAACGGTCAGGAAAGACAAGAAAATTTCCCAGTTTCCTAGAGTTTATATTCTAATGTTGGCCTGTTTGCTGAATACTTTTAAATTACTGATTAAAAATATAGTCTTGACAATGTACCAGGTACTATGTTAGATGTTATGGATATGAAAATGAATGTCTATCTTTCCTGCTACTGTGGGGTTTAAGAGATTTTGTTTAGACAGCAATCAATACCAAGAGATACGTCCTAAATATTCTTAAACATAGAGGATATCACAGTGTAGTGGTGAAAGCATGGAATGACAAAATAGAAATTTTAAAAAATTATATATGTATATTTATTTATATTTCGTCCTTCCATATTTTCACGTATATATGTGGGTGTGTGTATATATATATATATGATGGAAGAAGTATATCAGAAAATATCCTAAGAGAACACTTCATATTTGTGGTCAAGTCAAAGAGGGACGGAAGAAGAGAGATTCTCTTTGAGATAACAGATGTTCAAAAACATGAAAAAGCATCGAATTTCAGGGAAACGGCTTGATTCGGAAGGAGCTTGGAATATAGGGATGGGAAGTTAGGAAAATGAAGATGGGAAGTTGGCAGTGAGCAGACGCTGAAGGACCTGGTACGTCACACTAAGTGGTCTGGATGATTTATTACGGGCTTGGCATTAATAAGAATCCAATTCTGCATTCTATCTCCGAAAATACCACCCTTGTAGAGTGGGAAATGGTAAGAAAGGAAATTTGCTTACCAAAGGAGAAGAATTCATGAAATGGAAGCAGTCCACCATGGTAAGGGACAGCTCCATGACAGCAGTGACGTTGCCTGTTTTGTTCTACATGTATCACTACTGCGTAGCCTGGAATATAGTGGGCAACTCACTATGTGGGGATCTTGGATGAGTTAATGCATCAGTGATGCCAATCGGAAAGGAGTAGAACTGCTTGCATATGTGTGCGTGTGTTTTTCACAGGTCTGTACATCCCACTGTGTGATGAAGATGGGTATTATAAACCAACGCAGTGCCACGGCAGTGTGGGGCAGTGCTGGTGCGTGGACAGATATGGAAATGAAGTCACGGGATCTAGAACGAACGGTGTTGCAGACTGTGGTAAGGAGGAGGGTTACTCATTTAATGATCTCCCAAGCAGAGTATTCCAAAACCCTTTCCTTTGCGCAGATATTTATCCAGAACCTACTTGATGCAAAGACACTACAATACACTTGTGGGTGGACAACATAAAAGACTTTTTCGCAGCATATTAAAAATTTTATAGATAACAGACAGAATTGTACAGTTAGATATTTTCCTACTTCGAGTACAGAAAAGATTTTAGATACCCCCTCTTTTCCCCTCAGGTAAGGCAACCCTTCCCCATCCATTCTACTCCAACTCAGCTAAATCTAGTAAGGGCCAGGTCCCCATAGGACAGCCCCTTTGCTGCGTACCTCTGGAGAACGTGACACAGGAAATATGTAGGCTCACCACCCAAACAAAGACAACACCTTTATAAAGTAAGGGTCTGTACATTGCAGATACATAGCGTGTTTTCTTATGTTTGGCTGAGGACAGTGGAGTCTCTTGTTTGAAAGATGATTATACTTAATACTGTATTCTAATTCTTTTTTATGATTGTACATTTTATGTATATACCTAAAACATAATACAACAAGTCACAGACATTCATTTTACGGTTATACATATAGGATCATGTTTTGCTTCATGTAACATTTTTCACAATACAAGATGCAAGTCTGTATTTTCTGCTGAGGTTTTCGTTCTTGTTGTTGTTGTTGTGACTACAAAAGCCCCTTGACTGTATTTACACACACACCCACAAACGTGCAGAAGCCGAGACTCAACTGATGAAAATGACCAAATCTGAAAACAGATAGACTTACTCAGCCTTGCCTTCTAGGTTTTTATTCTCCTTAATGCATTATGTAAACTGAGATTATATAGGAAAATGTAAGTGGTGAACAATTTCAAGTGATCTCATTCACCGGTTTAATGCCTATGCTATGTTTATTCATTCCATGACATTTTTTATAGCTTTGTTTTGGTTTTCTGACCTGACTTTTGTGATTGGATTTAAGCAGGAAGAAGCCATACTCTATAGCTATAGCTGCCAAATATAGCATGACTTCACATGTAGAGAGCATGTCTTAGAAAATGTGTGCATGCATGTATGCATGCATGCATGTGTGTATGTGTGCATGCATGTAGGTATGTGCATGCATGTAGGTATGTATGTGTGCGTGCATGTAGGTAGGCATGTAATTTAGGAGGCCTTGGGTGGCGCAAATGGTTAAGCACTCAACTACTAACTGAAAGGCTATAGTTCGAACCCACCCAGAGGCCCTTTGGAAGACAGGCCTGGCTGTCTGCTTCCAAAAGTTCGCAGACTTTAAAACCCGGTGGAGCAGTTCTCCTCTGCACACGGGGCTTCTACGAGTCAGAATCGACTTGACAACACCAGCAACAACAACAAATAGGTCGTTTAAATTGATTTCATTATTGATTATTTCAATGACCAGTGACAGCAGTGATAAAGAATTTAATTTTTTATTGTAAATGGAAGTTATATACACATGAATTTACAATACTTTTACATAAATAATGTGAGCCTTCTATATTTGTTTGCCAAATTAGCATAGCATGCTTACAAAAAGACGTCCCCGGGGAGGGAGTGGTTGGCAAACAAACGTTGAAGGCGTGTGTTATTTCAGAAAAAATACGGTAACAAGTGCCCAGGGGGACTGTTTCGGGAACATAGGCTGTTATGAGTTATCTTAGCATGCCTGATTATTAAGAAACATGCCTAAAGTTGGAGAACAGAAATAACATTTTGCTTAAATATGTCAATGTGATTTATTATGAGATGAATAAGTTTATAAACATTGAATTACATTGATGACTTTCTTATAATTAGCTACCACAGAATTTCAAGACGCAACTATTAGAAAGAGTGGAAAATAAACACATGCAGTTAGACAGGTCGAAACATAAACACAGGTTGAGATAAATGCGTATCGTGGTCTCTAGGAACATCAGTGGTTTTAAAAATATTGACTAGCTGTATTAATGTTCTATCAACGTAATAAATTACCAACCACTTAGTCATTTAACTGATACAAATGTTCCATTTTACAGTTCCATATATCAGAGCCCAAAGCAGGTCTCACTGAGCTAAAAATGAAGGTGTCAGCAGGCCTCGTTCCCTCCAGAGACCCTAAAGTGGACTCCATTTCCTTTCTGTTTGCACCTTCCAGAGGCCATGTGCATTCCTTGGTCTATGACTCCTTGAGTCCATCTTTAAAGCCTTCAGCATTGCATCCTTCTGACAGTTTTTCTGTAGTCATATTTCCCTCTGATACAATCTGGGAAAGATTCTCCGATTGAAAGGGGCCCTGTAATTATACTGAGCCATCTATATAATCCAGGATAAACACCCAATCTAAAGGTTCTTAACGCAATCACATCTACAAAGTCCCTTTTGCCAGGGACATGTGGACATGTCTGTGAGACAATTATTCTGCCTACCATACTAGTAATAGGATTTTTAATCCTTTGTATGATTCAGAACGAAGCCTGACATGAGTTTCTATAATAATTGGGCTGAGCTCAATATGACTGGACAGGGAATCTTACCTATCCCATCTCGGTGATAATTCTGCTTATTAGCATATGACAGTTTAACAAATGAGAACAGACCTTTCCTTATCTTTAAGTTAGCTAAAACGCATAGTAAAATTTTATTAATTTCATCAATTTTCGTCAGACTTTATGTCTCTCTAGTACCTATCCCACTAACTCAACAATGAAGGTAATGTTTCCTTTTTTTAGCTATAGATTTCGAGATCTCTGGGGATTTTGCAAGTGGAGATTTCCATGAATGGACTGATGATGAGGATGAAGAACACGACATTATGAATGACGAAGATGAAATTAAAGACGATGATGAAGATGAAGGGGATGATGATGATGGTGGTGATGACCAGGATGGATATATTTGATTGGTGGAAGCTGAGATGAATAAATACTACATTTCTAATATTTACAAAGTGATAGCTTATTGAGAATTACCTTCTTGCCCAAAATACAGTGGTTCTAAACCTCACGTATATTTTGGATAATTATTTCAAATATTGCAGCTAAAGTCATAGAACTTTATGTTTGAATAAGAATCATTTACTTGGAGTTTTTTTATGGCTTATAGAAAAAGAAAACACGTATTGAGTTCAGGCAGAAAAAAAAGTTACGAAGAGCTATTAACAAACAAATTTTCATAAGAACTTTTTTTAGATCCTCCACAAGCAATGATAATCCATTTCTTGGACTGTATGTATTATTTTATTGAGAGATATTCTAAGTTAAATTTACATTAACTTATTAGTGACCTGGAGCCCTGGTGGCGCAGTGATTAAGCATTTGGCTGCTAACCAAAAGATCGGCTGTTTGAATCCACCAGCTGCTCCTTGGAAACCCTATGGGACAGTTCTACTCTGTCATGTAGGGTCATTATGAGTTGGAATAGACTCAAAGGCAGCAGATTTGGTGTTTTGGTATTAGTGACCTGGGCCCTAAGGGTTTTATAAAATTATGCATGACCTGAATTGCAATTCCAAGGCGGCATCTCGCAAACCTAGAGTCAGAGGTGAGTGAGGGAAATACCACGTGGTAGGAAACCCAGAGTGACCGTTTGGACCCTCCATTGTGTTTCCATTGATGGCAATGCTCTCCATTATGAAATTAGTCTGGATATGATAGGGTATTTTACAAAAAGGAACGTATGAAAAAACCATGGTTTCTGAAAGTTAAGATCTCTGCTGTCCTTTCAAATTTTTGTTTTAATTTGAATGGCAGTCTCGTGTAGATTCTGTTTTATTTTTAAGTAGCATGACTTCCGTACATTTCTAGGTTTCTTTGTCTTTCTGACCAGCATTTTACGGTGCCGAATTTAAAGGAGGAAAACAAATAGAAAGATTTATTTTAATCATATTTTCACATACCAGTAAAAATGTCGCTTGCCCCAAGTTTAACTTTAAAAATCTGAATTCTCATTATTTCCTATTTTAGATAACAGTTTCATTTACCATTAGAATTATGACATTTTGTTACTAGTGCCGAAACTTAAAGAAAGTATTGTATGGTGCCTTGCAAAATAGAAATAGAAAGGTTTTAGCATGCATACCAATATAGGATATTAGGCGATATGTAAGCATACCTAATTACCAAATTAATGCAAGTGTAGGTACTGCTGCTGGAATGAAGAAAATGGACTATGTTTCTTTCTTTTATTTTTCCTATTGTTACATAATTGCCATGTGGGCTTGTTTATGATTATTGTGTAGAGTAGCATTTAAGATTCAACTGTAGCAAGAATTAATTTAATTGTTGTATTTGAGTTAGCATGTTAATTAATCGTGTAAACATTTTGGCACACCATCACTTTACGTATATCAGACCTATGGTTTTGTGCCCATAATAAAAAGGGAAAAACCTGTTGAATGTTACACATTGATATCTTTAATTTCAACAGTGGGTCAGCTGGTTTCCCAATATACAATTCACTGAAAGCAAAACAGATACTTTCCGTTTGATTTATACACACTAAATAAAAACATTAATGTTGACCTTATGTAATATTTAAAGTATAATGCATTTTCTTTTTTACTGTTTATGTATAGTTTACAAAATAAAGAATCTCATAACCAACTTAAACTGTTCCTTAATGATTTTCTTGTGTGCGGTATAATGGATAACTTTTTGTGGCCTTTTGGGCCATGGTATTGTAATTCCCACCCAGCTGATTGGGGGTACTGTGCAGATTGTATAATTATAGGCCACCAAGGGGATTAGTCAGCTTTGCCATCCTGCTGGGCTTGAAATAAGCCACCCCAGAGGCGGGAAAGAGAGGACCCCACCACCACCAAGGAAGAACATCCAGGAGCAGAGAATAAGTCCTTTGGACCTGGTATCCCTGCTCTGAGAAGCTCCTAGAAACAGGAGACCAAGAGAGAGAGAGCTGTAACCCTTAAGACAGTGAGAAGCTGTGGCAGGAGAGACTCGCAGGAGTTGGTGCAGGGGCTTCCCTGCCCACAGACAGAGAAAGCTGAGTGCCTTTGGGCAGAGACTGGGCCAGGGAGAGGCGGGCCTGTGACCATGGCTGGGAAGAGGCTGTCCTGATGGAAGAACTGTATCTTGAGCATTCTTCAACCTGAATTGTAACCTGTTTCTTCCCTAATAAACCCCATAACTGTGAGTATAGTCTGTGAGTTCTGTGTGGCCATTGCAGTGAATTATCGTGCCCAGCAGAGAAGTAGAGAGTGCCGTGGGAGGGACGGTTGGTGTCAGAATCAGTAAAGATGGTGGAGAGAGTGACCTCTGCCTCATGGGAGTCAGTCCTGGGCTGCTGGTCTTGATTCTCCTTTCCCCTTGTGAAGTTAGAGGACGTCAGACACCACCCTCATGCCATTTTTACATAGGGTATAGATAGTAGCATGATTTCCTGATTTTTAAAATGGTTCCTTCACAAACTAAGGAAATTGTTTTGAAAATTTTGAACTTCAAACTTAGAGCTCCTGGCATGTAAATATTGGTTTTCTAGACACGTTAAAAATGTTTTTGTTTGTTGCTTTATTTTTTTTCCATTTGTCATAATGTTACAAAGTAGATCATTTTCTTCAGTGACAGTAGTATATTCCAACCCGTTTTTGTACTGTCATATTAACATACCTTATTTGATTTTTATAGTAACAGTATTTTTGAAGAGTGATAGGATAATCTTATTTATTTATCAAATTTATGGAAATCATAAAATATAACTTTTAAATTGCTTGGCAAAAACAAAACAGACCAATTCTATATAGAGATTTAGCAAATGAGGTTAAAATAACAGATACAGTGGTCTGGAAATTAAGTTACTTTTAAAAAGGTGTCAACCTTCATACTCCCAAGAAAGCAACCAGTTCAACAGCAAATATAAAATTGAAAAGACTAGCATTATTACACTTTCTATGAAGTATCAGTTTGTATATAATATATATTTGTGTGTATGTATATAAATATACTACAGGCCGTTCCCAGCTTATGAATGAGATCCGTTCCTAAGTCTGTCTGTAAGTCAAATACGTAGGTAAATCAGAAGAGATACATAGATTCTTATTTAGTGTCAGTCAAATGTTTCTTAGTATATAGTATATCTTGTATCTTTATATGCATATGAAACACTTAAGAAACACTTCCAAACCACAGTGTTTTCGTGAGCATCACAAAGTAGTGTGTGCATTCGTTATTACGAACCGTTTTATTTAACTCAAAAAGTTTAATATAATAGGCTTTATAGCAGTCTGTCCTTAAGTACGAGTTGTCCGTAAGTCGTATGTTCATAATCCAGGGAATGCCTACATATATAATGTGTATTAGATCCCTTTATCATCATTTAATGCATTCTGAATATTTGGATTCAACACAATTTTACTTGTTCATTTATTCTCAAAATATTAAACATCAAGGACCTACTATAAACCAGGCACCTTAGACACTGGAAATTTAGCAGTAAACAAAATCATCATGGAACGAATATTCTAGTGTGGAAGACACACAGTAAAGAGGAAAATTAATTGCAATATGTAGGATGTTATGTAGTTATAAATACAAATTAAAAATAGTGCAGAAAAAGGCGATGGTAAGTGTTCTGGGGCAGGTTGAAATGTTGAGTGCTGTAGCCCAGGTGGCATGTTAGGAAATGTCCTTTTGGAGTGAGGGAGCAAGGCTTGAAGAGCTCTGTGGGACGCGCGTTCCAGGAAGAACTAAGACTCTAGAGAGGGAGCGAGCCTGCCCGTTAGAGGAACATCCGGGGACACCGAGTCTGAGATGCTAGAAGTAATAGCGATGCATGTCTGTTTCTGTCTCTGTCACTTTTTACTCTCTTTATCTATCTCTCTCTCCATCTATCTACGACTCTACTTATCTTTTATTTAAAAATTTACCCCAAACACAATGTAGGCATTAGCTATATACAGTACATCCATCATCCTTCCTGGGGCAAGACAATTTCCAGTAGTCTTTTTAAATAGTATTTTCTCTCCTTAATTATGTATGAATTTCTGCCAGCTTTGTACTGTCCAAGGTCTCTTTGACTTATTTTTCTATAAAACAAACCAAACCTGTTGCCAGAGAGTTGATTCTGACTGACAGCGACCCTATAGGACGGAGCAGAACTGCCCGCTGGGGATTCCAAGCAGTGGCTGGTGGGTTCGAACTGCTGACCTTTTGGTTAGCAGACGCGCTCTTAACCACTTCGCCACCAGGCTTCCAATTTTTCTATATGCCTCCTTAAAAGCTTGGCAACTATAATTTAGAAAAATCGTAAATTTTCAAATATATTTTAAAAAGACAAAGTAAACAGTTGTAGGGATTTCATAAACGTACACTCCACCACATCAGTATTCAATTTTTTAAAATACATCCTTGGGGAATTTATTCTTAATGTACGGTAATTTCCACTGGCCGTTAAACCAACACATATATGCATACCTGGTCTATATAGTCGCCAAAGAATATTACTCTTTTTTTTTTTTACCATCAAGTATTTAAAGTTGGTTAGCACCAGACTGCTTACTGAAGTTTTCGATATATGTTGGCGAAATTGCCTTCTCTTTTTAGAGTTCTATTCACATTCATTCAAACGAATAATCCAGTTTATAATACCATCATGTCTTAAACAGGGTTATATGGTACTGACATTGTCAGGTTATTGTGATGACAAAATGCATTAAAATGTGATGTCTGGTACATAGGAAATACCAAATAAGCGCAATTGTGATCATAATGTACGGGGGCAGGGCATACCACAATTATATCAAAAAATGAATACATGAATTCCAAACCAAAATTTCTTATTGTGTTCGTTTTCCCAAATATTTCTTCATTTTTGAATAGCTAATTATCAAGTGTATTATTAACTAATATCTGTGTACATTTACTATATGTAGCACACAGTAAGCTAGGAGGTGGTATGATTTTCATTTTTAATATTACAAAGTATCACAGAAAATACTAGACCTCCCCATACCCAGTTCTTCTCTTTTTCCTGGCATAGGAGATATCTTGCTTGTCTCCTTAACAGTCAGGTTGGAGCAACGTGACTGCTTTGGCCGAAGAACCCTGAGTAGCAGTAATGAGTGTGGTACTTGACAGGGAAGGTGTCATAACCATTAGTTTTAGACACAGTTGAGATTGAAAAGTGATATAGCTCATATACAGCTTTGACTTTAAGCTACGTCTCCCAATCCCACTGAGAATTTCACTGACAATCCTACTAGAGCATCTAACACCAAACACATCAGCTGTTACAAATAAAAGTATGTTGTTGTTCTTAGGT